GACCATATTCTTATCATAATAGGAAGCTAATCAATTTGCGATTATTTAATTGTGACAGATTTTGGGAAAAGATAATAGAGTAGCTGTAGACTCTGCTTCCCATGACTCATGTTATATGCACGTTGTTACTATCCAGCCGTCAGTTTGAGCATGGAAATCAAAGGTCTATTTTGCGTTGTAAACCACTTAATTGGAAAATATCTGTCTCTTTTCTTCTAAAGGAAACAATTATACAATAAAAATTGTAAAGGGAAGATGCAAAACAAGATGAGGGCTATGAAAATGGATATTATCAAAGAAGAAACATCTAAGCTTTACAATCAGAAGCATCTCTGTGTGTTTATCAAAAAAAAAAAAAAAAGCATCTCTGTGTACGGGCACCCCATTATTTAAGAAGAGAATCTGTAAAGCAGTCCTCTCCTGTTATCTAGTCATTTGTTGCTATATCTTAATTTTTATTTTATTTCATTTTTCATTTTTCATTTTGCAGTATAAAGTGACAGCATCCTGCAGATAGATGGAGCTTCATTCCATTATTCACAAAAATATAATGTCTTTGTGATTGTAAGCATTGCTGCCAAAATGGTATCTCAACACATGGTACTCTGCTTTATGCCATCTTTTGTGATAGTATAGTAAATACTTAAGGGCCCGTTTGGTAGGAGGATTTTTTTTGTTTTCCCGGGATTCCTTGGTTGGGTAAATAAGAATGCATCATTTGGTACAGGAAAATTTTTCCGGAAATCTGATTTTTCCGAAATTTTATTTTGTGTGTAATTTTTTTTGAAAAAACCATCCATGAATACTATTCAAAAGGTGGTATTCTAAGATTTCTATGGAAAGAAAAAATTTAATACAACTAAACATAGTATCAAGCAAATTAACACAATATTCCCAGGAATATATTAGTCTACCAAATAACTTTTTGATAACATTATCAGAAAACTCATTTTCTCATCATATCCCTGGAAATCGTAATTACCGGATAAAAAAAAATTTCTCCTCTACCAAACACCCCTAAGGATCACAGCATAATAATGTAGGCATTTTTTAAGTTTGTAGCCAGTTTGTGTCTTTATAACATAAAGTATGCAATCTTATATGCTTTTGAAATTCAAAATTAAGGGGAAGGAAAATCGCACAAGTCAAAACATTTATCTGTTTGAAAAAAAAAATCATCATCTCTTTAAATTTACTTTTCAGTTGCGGTGAAAGAATTTTAAAAAAGAAAATAAATCTTCTATTTGGTAAACTCACACTGATGGGCTAAAAAAATTTATAACTGACTCGCAGCTGGTTTGTCTTATCTTTTATTTCTCAGTCAATCATAAAAAGTTGAGTAAAGTTATAATTTTTCAGAAATATGACAACAGACGTGCAAGCATGAGAATGTAAAAACTTTCTCATTGACTTCTAAATATTACAAATATTAATCATATAGGTGTTTAAACACTGAACACATTAGTAAGAAAGAAAAATTAACATGACCAACGTTTAGAGTTTTTTTTTTAGTACACAACGTTTATAATTTTTAAATAATGCGATAAATGTACCCAAAATAATAATAATAATATGATAACATTTTGGGAGTGAATTAAAATTTTACATGATCTTATTGTATAAAAATTTCATATGATAAAACATTATTGGTTAGAAATAATATTTGATAAAAGTGGTTTTTTTTTTTCAATAATAAAAAAGAATGAACCAGTTAAAGAGAAATACAAATTAATAGAAATAAGAAATGTTTTTTTTCCTTGAACGTTGAAAATTTACATAGTGGCAAGAGTACAAGCTCTTATTGATCAAGATTGAACAATGGCTCTAAAGCACATCTCTAGAGTAGCAAATGGGTGTGCTGACTGGCTAGCTAAGTCTTCCATCCAGAGTTCATTTGGTCTACAGTACTATCGGATCATGCCTGCGGAACTGATTCCCGTTTTTAATTTAGATCTCCAGAGAACATCTCATTGCATAGATGTTGATCCTGGCTAGTTTGAGTATTTTCTTGTCTGTTTTTTAGTGATTTATTTTGTTTTTCTGTTTTCTCGAATTGTTATAAAAAAAAAATTTACATGACCTATCAATGTAAAATTTGTGTGTTTATATCTCTCTTTCATATAGATTAAATAAGTGAGATTCAACTATAATTTGTCAATATTAATAAAAAAAGATATAGATACAAAAATTTTACATAATTCACATGTGAATTATGTTAAATTTTAACATAAGGATCCATTTTCAATTATCAAATACCTAGAATGTGTTATCAGATCCATTAGGTTTAGCCTAGTGGTGTGGAGTGTGTGTAGTATAATGTATAGTGTTCCATTCTCATTATAATCCAAAAAATAATGTTATCAACATTAAATACACAATATTTATTAAATACACATTCTCTAATTATGTATAAAAATTAGTTATATTATTAAAAAAAATTCCCCAAAACGCTTCTCAAACACATAAATAAAAAGGTTTATTTCTTTCCATAAGCTGTGGCATAAAACAAAATCCTTCTCTTTCACACCCTAGATTTTTGCTGAACAATTTTGAGATTTACTTAAAAAAATTCCTTAGCTCTCTAGTCGGAGCAAACTTTTGGTACATTCGGTGTACCAAACTCGGTACATCTGATTATTATAATGGGTGAAAAAAATTTCACTTTATCCCTTATTTTTTTATATTCTCTTTTATATTCTTTCAAATTTTTCTCATTTAATAAACGGGTGTATCAAGTTCGGTACATCCATAATATTAAAAATATGTTTTTCTATTGGAAGAAAATTTCTTGTATACATCAAAAAGTACCAAATTTGATATTCTCTTTTACTTAAAAAAGGAAAAAAGAATTTCACTTTAACACAATTTTTTTTTATAATTCGATGCACCTAGAGCTAGAGCAGGAGTACTCTAGGTTTTCTCCTACTCAGACTGTTTTCCCCTTGAATGTTGTCTTACATTTTAAAATTAAGACAGATTTTTTTTTCCATAAGTAGATTATTTATTGAAAAAATATTTCTCAAACAACTTGAGATAAGTTTATTTCTGGCTATCTCAAAATTATGTCGTTTTATTTATTTATTTCTTTATATTAATTGATTCACTTTAAATGGTTATGATTCTTTTTTTTTCTCTCTTCTTTTATTATCATTGATTTATTTTTATACAATTATGATTTACTAACCGAAAATAAGATTATCAAATGATAAGGCTTATATTATTAACTAAGTGGCATTATAGGCCGACAAGATTGAAAATTGTGTTTTGAAAGCGAAGCTAAAAATAAGTAGCCCACTTTTTCTTGAGATTTGTGTGTGCTAAATAATCATTATGGCCAACGATTTGACAGCACAAAAATGTTAAAACAAAAACTACTGATTAACCGTCCTTTATCCTTGGAATTTATTTGACTAGTGTTTGATTGGATTACAGAAGTTCCACTTCAGTAGAAAACGAATGATTACTTCAAATTGATGCTTCCTTTTCTTTTTGCACCCTCTAAAATTTAGGCATGAAGTATTTCTCTGTTCCGGTTCCAGAAAAGAAGAACCAACACGATTAGCATCCAATCGAGCCATCCTCTTTGGCTGAACACTTCTTGGGTACTACCGATGTACATCGCTACCCAAATTAGAAAAATTGCAGGACATGCATGAAAATATAGAGAAAGGCAAGGATTGAAATGATATAAGATTTTTTTAATTAAGGAAAATGGGAGTACTCTCTTGGCTGCAATGCTGCATCATATTATCATATGCATACGGCAGTCTGATTATGCAATTGGTTGCCAAAGTTTGATGCTTTGTCTTTTTGGTGAGTAACTGCACTATCAAATTTTTTAATGTTGTGGGTTCAAGTGTAGCAAGTTTAATTTCAATTTCATTACACGCCAAGTTGTAAAAGCAATTATGTAGCAATTAAGGCATAAAGAACAAAATCTTTAATGGCCCTTTCCAAGCGAATTGTGCAGATCAACAAGGATTGATTGTCCTCTAACTAAGCCAAGTTGACGATTAAAACTATAGTGTTATGCTAGTTGAATAGAGATGCTATCTAGTTAAATATTTATTTGGTCGCGGAGGCATTTGTTCTTTATAAAGCTGGAGCTGCTCACAAGACTACACTTGGGTTTGAATAACGAATTAGGCAGAATCGGTTAAAATTAGGAGTCCTGACTGAGTGCTCGTCCATTTCCCCCCTTTTCTCTTGCTAAATAAATATAAATGAATGTTCTTATTCTGACAATATTAATAGAATCCTTGGTATATTTGGAGACCTCTAGTTGTCTTTCTTTGTTTTTCTGAAGCAACAAAAATAAATAAATTATAGAAGATATTATGACTTCCCAAATATCTTGGACGCATTTTAAGTTTTTAACCTAGTCAAATATTTTATTTTATGTTGGTTTTAAAGTATTAAGAAGAAATAAGTTCATTAGTCTTTTCTTATAAAAGACCACGCATACGGTTTTTACCAAGGTTTGAATGTTTCATGTTTGATAACAAATTTCACCAAGCTGCTGTGTTGAATTTTTGAATAATTAGTGATGACAGGCTACATAGAAAATGGTCGGCCTTTGCATATTTTCTGATAATGCAGTGCATGAATATTGAATATGATACATAGTTATATACACTGAACCAATCAAAACCAGCAGTAGAAAAGAGAAATCGAAATCGAATACAACTAAGAAAAAACTAATTGGAGACAACCTCCAACAACCCAACTTATTTTTTTTTACCTTCGTAGCATCTCACGGTTCAAAATATCCTAACTTTATTATTAACTTTATTTTTTTGTTTAAAAAAAAAAACAGAGTTAAAATTGAAAATACTTTGGTATTCATTTTGGCTTACAAAAGGTTGTTTCCCAGTAAAGTTTCTATCTGCCAAAACTTCATAAAAGGGTCTTCCCCAAAAGATGCTTCTGCAAGACTAAAAAGCCACGGTACTGAAACCGATGATGAGCTCCTTTTATAACTGTCCGCATATTGTTCTGCTCTACATGAGGAGTTCGCCATTTAACTCATCGATGAGTTCAATCTACATAAAAATCTCATAGTTATCAGCAACCCACTCAACTGATTAACAATGTGCTGTCTAATATCACTAGAAATTTAAGAAGCAATAAAAAGATATTTACCCAGAACTCGTCTTCTAATTCTTCTCTGATTGAACATGGAGCTTCCAAAATGTGACTGATTTCATCGTTGCGTGCGAATCTGCCACGTACGCGTATTCGATTGTCGGCTAGTGTCTTTCGGCATGCATACTGGTACCACAGAAAAACGACCAAGCAGCCATATTCAGATCTTTTTCTTTTTTCATCGAATTCTTTATTTTCTCAGCGATTATTATTATTTTTCAGGAAATGGACAGAAGATTATTATTATTTAAAAAAAAAAAAAAACTAACACAAATATGCACTAGCTTTCTAATACAACGTTCTTGTCCTACTATGATTAGTACCAAAGAAATAGCAAGCAACTTGTGCTATTCTTTGTTTACCTTAATAATCTTGTTGAACTTCCTGTGGCTTCTCTTGGCTCTGTATTTAGAGATTTTTTCTTTTCTTTCTTCGGCACTGTAACGCCCTACTTTGAAGTTAGCTTTCTCCGATGAGGGGCTCTGCGTTCGTGACGTATTAAAGTTCTGATCAAGAAGTAAAACAAACATTAATAAAAGATAAAAAATTAACAATGAAAGAAGGATGATAAATGAATGTGTTATTTAACCTGCAAATCTCCTGTGCTGCAAACCTTCCTCATTTCTCCATTGAAGAAATTGTTTTCAGGGGAGCTCAAGGCATGCCATTGAAATTTTGGCGAGCCCATGAGAGTGTCAGAGTGAGGAAAACCAGGATTCCCATGAAAAGAGCTACAACTGAAGCTCCTCTGCAATAACTTTGATGCACTTTCAGAACCACTTAAACTGTGAGGAAGAAAGTGCTGATTGTAAGTATAACCCACACCCATTTGGCATTCCTCTCTTTTCACTTCAGACCCATCCAAAGCAGGGAAATTTGAAAACTCGTTTTTCATATTTGTGCCATTTGACAGAGGCTGCACAGGGTTAGTCTGATATAGGCTCTGGTTTTCCAAGTGGGTAATCTGAGGAGAAAAAGGGGAAAACGGGTCATGAGAATTGTTCAAATTGTCTCGAGCTACATCAATGGGAGAGACATTGAAGAAAGGGGAATGGTAAGGATCAGAGAAAAACATGTGATCTCCGCTTCCATCATAGGAGACTGTGTCTGGCCTTGAATGTCGGTGGATAGGAATATCAAAAGTATAGAGATCAGAAGACATTGAAACAGAGTTCAAGATACAATTAACCCCCCGGAATCCACTATAGTTGAAGAAAACTACTTGTTGCTTCAACGAAAAATAATAAGAACAAAATTCTTTAAATTTGTGTGGTGAGGAGGTGTTGTTTTCTCTCAAGCTACACATACCGGGGCTCTTTTATAGGATCGGGGTGGAGCAACAAGACAATTCCAAACTCGTCTCTTTCTCTCTCTACTAATAATAATAAAAAATGTTAAAAAACTATTTTACTAACATTCTTATTTCAATTATATCATGAATTCATGATGTTATAATTTTTTTCCCAAAAACCTTGCTTATAAATGTCAATTGAAGCGTTTTTTTTTTTTAAATACTTAAATTTTAATTCTTTATTATATTGTTTATCTCCAACGTAAAATAAATATAAAAGTCAAATACAGTGTTCTTCATCAATTTAAAAACATGAAAATCAAAACAACTATTTTTTTAATTTTTTGTTACAATCCAATAAAAATAAGTACCTGAATAGTTTTTTGGTATAATTTAGCTTTTATAAAAAAGATATTTTCAAAAACAACTAATAGGCTCAACCATGCTAACTGAAATTCATAAAAGAAAAAAAGTTAAATAAAAATAAAATTAATTGATTTTTAAATTTTCAAATCAGATTTATTTGACTCAGTTATGAAAACCTTACGTTTGCTGACCATTTGAAGCCAACAAAGTTTTTGAGCAGTTACGAAACCACTCTGTGACACAACCTTGAAAATTTTCATAGACTTATTCAGCTATGAATTAGTTTATGGAAAATACATATGTTATATTCTAAGGAAATGTTTAAATTACGTTATAGATATAATCGAATTCCATCACTTGTAAAATAAAAAGAAAAAAAAAATACTAGAGTTGACATTAATTGCATTTATAATATAACCTAAATATTTTCCTACTACATAACATATGTATTTAATAGAAGAATTTTTTTTTTTTTTCGAAATTATCTTCCTACAACATGACGTAATAACAATGAATTATTTTTACTTTGCTTCCTTTTCCTTCTCTTCTAATCTTCTTGAACCATTTCCTTTCCTTTTCTTACTAAATTCCAAAAACACCCTTGGGATGAGCTGTGGGACTTTTGTCAACTGGGATTAAGTAGTAAAAACAATAAAGTTCAAAAGTCGTCTTGGTCTTTAACGTCGTGACTTCTTGTCACTCGTCTTTCCATTTATCCTTCTTCGATTTGATCGTGTAGTCGTCGTCGTCGTCGTCATTGTTGTTAGGGTTTCGATCTGCTCCTAATTCCTGAAGAAGTGGACATGGCCGCGCAGCAGAACCTCGAGAAGATGCAGCTCCGCCAGAATTACCGGAATCTCTGGCACTCCGATCTCTTGAGAACCATTCAGGCTGACACTCCTTGTAAGTTAAAACGACACACTCACACTCACACACATACACTTTGTTTTTTTTTTCTCTCTCTCTCTCTCTCTCTATATATATATAGGTGACTGACATTGCGTCCAAAATTTGAATCATGTGCAGATTGCTGTTTTGCTTTGTGGTGGTAAGTCTTCTCCACCTTTCTGCTGCGATTTTTCGAGCTTGGACCAACGTTTACTTGCATTGACATATCCTGATTATCCAATTTCCGTACTCTCTTCAAATTATATGTGGTTGGTTATTGTATTTGATATTTTGAGGTAACGAATTAGGTTTGAGTTCCAACAAATTTTAGGAAATTAATACCTGAGAGGGGAATCTGGCCCAAAAAATGAATAATTGTGCTTTAGTGTCACTGTAAGCGACCGTTTTGGGCAGTTTTAATATTGGAATTCAATCTATCTCATATGGAAACTGTATTGTTATGTTCTTTTTAGGTGCTCTGTGTCTGTCTCTGCTACTAGGTAGTTGATAAGGATGTATTCACTCCCACCCCCACCTCACCCCCACAAAAAAATCCTTAAGGATGTCTTATTCTTTATAAATTATAAGGGAGGCAAAGGGTTGGGGGGAGGATATGTTACTTTGCATAATTAAGTCAAGTGGGCTTCTTATTGAATTATTCCAGTTGGATTGAATCATGATATGTCTTCTATAAATATATCGAGCATAGAAATAATCTCGTGAATGCAGTGATTATGAATGAGAAAAAAAAAATGCTCCCTTAGTCATTGATGCCTTGCCAGTTGATGCAACTTTAGGCTTGACTAGAGAGTAGTTAATGTAGGTTCTGTGTAACACGTGAAATGAGCAATCCTTGATTCACAAATAATTTACAGGTGAAGTGGGTTAGAGAAATTTCCATTCCACTCAGTGAAATTGAAGTTCTCATACAGTAGTTTCCATTTCCAAGTTGTGGTTGCTTTCTCTTGCAAAGTTTCAGTATGATCTGCTTGTATCAACCATCTCAGTATTTTATCTCATTTGTGTGCTTATCAATTCAGTGACCTTACAATTTGGTGCTCTGTATCTCCAATGCCTTTTTAGTTTGATCGCAATTTTAATGGACCTGTATTGAAAACATAAATGTAATTATTTCATTTGTTTTCCATTGTAGTAAGCTAATTTTATATTGTCTCATTACAGTGCGCCATGTGTGTCATATCTGCTCCGCAAAAGAGCTCTTTACAATGACATGTCAAGGTAATTGATACTGTTTATGTTCTCCCAAGCTTCCAAAATGAATTATATTGTCTGCTGGGGTGATATGGTTTTGTCTTGTTTGTTTCAGATACACATGCTGTGCTGGTTACATGCCCTGCAGTGGTCGATGTGGAGAAAGTAAATGTCCTGAATTCTGCCTTTGCACGGAGGTATAGCAATTCTTACATGTGTTGCTTCCTCTATAAAACGAATGTCTGAGTGTACCTCTCTATGAATGGGCTTTGGGCGTTTGGGTTGTGATGCCTTAACCTTGGCATGGTATTATCCCAAGTCTACAGCATGGCATCAAGAATTCTGATGCTTCCTGTATTGCTGGTTTAAACCTAGCTCTGAACTTTCAGCATTCCTATCCTCTGATTTGGCATTTGTTTCATCATGAAGAAATTGCTTGGAAATCATCCACCCTCCTAAATTTCTTGGAAATCATCCTATCCTCCTTTAAATTATTTGGATTTCATGTACAAGAACTCTAGCTCATATTTAGATGCCAAACTCACTCAGACTCTCTGAGTTTTGCTGAAGTAGGTAACGATAAATATCACAGGCTAGGTACTATAGTATAGGCTTTATGGAATTTTTTCTGGTAAAAAAATTGATTGGTGAATCAACATTGCCTTGCCCTAATAGATCATACAGGTGCTAATAGATCATTAAATTTACAGCTGAAGTTTTTCCCTTATACAGTTGAAAATTTGACATACTAAAACCCTTGTTTAATTATGCCAATTAGTTTCTCTTAAATTTTTTTATTGATTTCCATCAAGTCATAATTTCATCCTCTTTTCTATTATAAATTCTATGATGATTACTGACACACAACCCACACAGAACTCCATAGACTTATCCTATAATTAGTATATTTCATTTAATAAGCCAAAATTCATTTATCTTTAACTTCTCTTCTTACCTTTAATTTTAGGTTGTTTAGTTACCGCATTGTTGAAAGAAGAAAATACATTGAGAAAAGAATTAAAATAAAAGGTTGATTGGTTTAAATGTGTTTAAACTTGTTGAAGAATCGGGAAAAAAATAGAAAAAGAGCATTTTAGCTGTTATTTCGAAGTTTCTACTTATCATTTAAATAAAGAACATGCAAGATTCCTCTTAAGTTGGTTTTGTGTCACTTTACATGTATTTTACAAGGAACTTTTCTGTGTCATATTACATGTATTCTCATTATTTGTTTCAGGTTTTCCTATGCTTTGGAAATTCAGTGGCCTCAACTCGATTTTTGTTGCAAGATGAATTTAATATTCAAACAACGCAATGTGATAATTGCATTATCGTACTCTCTCTCTCTCTATCTCTCTCTCTCCAGCAGATACATACAAATAAATTTTCTTATGATATTCTGTTAACTTATCTTGCAATTCTTATGTTTTAGGGTTTCATGTTTTGCCTTCAACAACTTGCATGCATATTTTCTATTGTTGCATTAATTGTGGGAAGTAGTGAAATTCAAGAGGCTTCTCAATTGCTATCTTGTTTAGCTGACTTTGTGTACTGCACGTAAGGCTTCCTCTTTTCTCTCTTCAATTGTACAGTTTATAGTGGAATTTATTATTACTAATTTTATGTTTCTTTTTATTTGCAGGGTTTGTGCTTGCATGCAGGTAAATTTGTTACTTATTACTCACAAATGGTTAATCATTATGTTATAAGCTTTACAATTACATCATAAATGGAAAATGAATTTTATTTGCAGACTCAGCACAAGATTGAAATGGACAAGCGTGATGGCATGTTTGGACCCCAACCTATGGCAATTCCCCCAGTTCAGCAGATGTCACGCATTGATCAACAAATCCCTCCTTCAGTTGGGTACGCACCACAGCCAGCATATGGACAGAACTATGGTTATCCACCTGCCCCTCAACCTTATGGGTATCCAGCTACTGGTTACCCCCCAACGGCCTATCCCCCACCGGGACATCCACCTTCTGGCTACTAGAAGTGATTTTTTTAATCATGCTTTATGTTGGTCTGCTGCTCCAATTGTTTGGTTACATTTCGTTCAAGTTCTCATTGATGTCAAAACAATCATTCATGTGCAGGATTTTGGTAAAATACAATAGCCACATTAATTATTTGGTTGCTTTTCATGTACAAGTTTTGGTTAAAGTTCGGATGTGAGACAAGCGTATTGTTCATTCCGATACTTTGCCTTCTATTTGTACAATAATCTCATTGTTGCTTACATATTGGTCCTTTACTCCTTTTTTCTTTTTTGTGTGCGATGTGGTGTAAATGTCTTGTCCCAAATCCTAATATGGACTAACCATTTGGGCTGTTAGCCCAGTGGTGCATGAAATGCCCCTCTGGACAGTAGTAACCATAGGGTTTGCTCTTCGTATGTGATTTTAATGCGGAAAATAACGACAAGTTTCTGAAATTCCCCCGTTATTCCCCATTATGGCTGTCTTGACTTAAGTTTCTAATAGGACCATGAGTTTTTTTTGGTGAATTGCCCCCAAGTTTTTGCCAATCCTGGAAGATGTTTAGTTCAATTAAACAAAACCAAATATCCTATTTATATGTATATTTATATGGGATTTATTAGTCTCCTTTTATAGGAAAATTTTTCTCTTCAGCTACATTCACAAACCAGCAATGGGACCCACCAAAACAAGAAAGAGAAAAAAAAGTTAAATGGATCCCACATCATTTTTTAGTATGCATGAAAAGAATGTTGTCTTCTTTGACAAAAAATAGTAAAATCCTATTTTTATTTGTACAAATATGTAGTTGGATCAGTTCCGTATTAATTATGGGTTTGGTGTTTGTCATTTTAAATGACATAAGTTATGTCATTTTAAGAGAGAGATAGACACAGAAAAATGAAAATCATGGGAGAGAGAAAGTGTGTGATTTTTTTTAAGGGAATAACATCTATCCTTTTAAAGGATATAATTTTATATCTTTTTAGATCCTAACCATTGATTTTCGTCCATCAACGGTTATAATTTATTGGATTAAAATTATTAATTAATTAATAATAAATTTGGCTCAATAGATTATAACCGTTGATGGACGGAAATCAACGGTTAGGATCTAAAAGGATAGATATTTTTTCCTTTTTTTAATTTAAAATTCAAATTTTCTGTGTCTGTATCTCTCTTAGAATGACATAATTTTCTACCATTTTAAAATGACAAACACTTTTCCCATTAATTATACTCGTTGATTTAGTACCTGTTGTAAATAATAATTATTTAGTTATTATTTAGTCATTTATTTGTTGTATTGGGCCAAGCCCATTAGGTTAAAATTAGGTCAAATATTCTCTATAAATAGAGAACCCTTTGTACAGATTATTTACAATTCTATAATATATTAGAATACCCTTTTTCAAGTTGGTATCAGAGCTCTCGATCTGAGGGCTTTGCTTCCGCACATATTATCTTCTTTTTTAACAAAACCCTAATTTCTTTGCCTCTTGCCGCCATCAGCCGCCACCGGAAAATTTTTCCGGGGACCTTTTGGACCAAGGGGACCATTGTTGACCTTATTTTTCCTCCGATCTATCATTCTACGCACTGTTCCTCCGCCACAAACGACCGAAACACCTCTGACCGCCTCCAATCAGATCTGTCTTCACCGTTTGGACCACTTTCCAGCGAATTTTCAACCGCAACCACCCACAGACAGGTGCGCGCTCACCGGACGACCACACCAGAAAAATCTCAGCCGGCGAAGCCCATCCACGCGCTCTCACGCGCCGCCCCTTTCCCGGCGAGTGAATCCCACGCGCAGCTCCTTTCTCCGGCTCGTGGAGGCGCGTGCGGCCGTGTTTTTGGACCGGACCACCACCATTCTTCTCGTCTTCTTGTCTTCTGTCTAGATCTGTAATTATTTTTCTGATCAGAGGTCTTTTGATATTCTGTTTGGTTGATTTTATCGCTGGTTGTTAACTTTTTTGTTAAAGAATGGCCGAGCATGATAGTTCTTCGATCTTATCTGGTAAGAGCACACGTTCTATATCTCTTCTTGCTTCTTGCACTGATTTTAAAACCTCATGGATTTTGGATTCTGGTGCAACTGATCATATGGCTTCTCGTACTGAGCTGTTTTGTTCTTATCATCCTACTGTTGGTAGTCATACTATATCCGTAGCTGATGGATCCCATAAATCAGTTATTAGTTCTGGTAACATTCAAATTCAACCTTCCTTGTTTCTTAAAAATGTTCTTTATGTTCCTCAGCTTTCTACTAATCTTATCTCCACTCAAAAACTTACAACTGATTTGAATTGTTCTATCACATTTTTTCCTTCTCATTGTCTTATTCAGGATCTTACCACGAAGAAGACAATTGGAGTTACTAATGAACAGGATGGGTTGTATCATCTCCTTCCAGACCATGCTAGCAAAAATAAGTTATTAATGACACGTCATCCTTCTACTGCAGAGTCTATGATTTGGCTCCATCACAAGCGTCTCGGGCATCCACCATTTAGTCTTTTGAAGTCTATGTTCCCCTCTCTGTTTCTCAATAAGTCGGTTGAGACCTTTCATTGTGATGTTTGTGAATTTGCAAAACACCATCGAGTGTCATTTCCTTCTAGCACTATTAAAAGCAGGGAACCTTTTTCTCTTATCCATTCCGATGTTTGGGGCCCTTCTAAAGTGCACAGTGTTTCAGGTGCAAGGTGGTTTGTTTCTTTTATTGACGATTGTACTCGGATAACATGGATATACTTGATGAAAGACAAGTCTGAAGTACCAGAGATATTTATTCGGTTTCATCACATGGTTGAGACTCAGTTTAGTAAGGGTATTAAAAGACTCAGATCTGATAATGGTACTGAGTACGTCAATCAACGCCTGTCACAATTCATTTCAGACAGAGGTATGATTCATGAGCTCACATGTGTTGATACCCCTCAACAAAACGGGGTTGCTGAAAGGAAAAATCGTCACCTTCTTGAAGTTGCTAGAGCACTACTTTTTCAGACATCTGTTCCTAGTTCTTATCGGGGAGAAGCAGTATTAGCTGCAACTTTTTTGATCAACCGTTTACCTTTACGGGTCCTTAACAATATCAGTCCTATTCATTCCATGACTTCCTTCTTTCCTTCTGTTCCCATATTGCAGAGCCTTCCACCAAGAGTGTTTGGATGTGTTGCCTTTGTCCATGTTCATAACAACATCGGAGTAAGTTGGATCCTAGGGCTATTAAGTGTGTCTTCCTTGGTTATAACACTTATAAAAAAGGGTACAAGTGTTATCATCCACCAAGTCGGAAATTTTTTGTTTCTATGGATGTCACCTTTCAAGAATCTGAATCTTATTTCCTGGGTCCTCATCGTCAGGGGGAGAATAGTTCTTCAGAAGACTCGTCCCCTTCCTTCTTTGAGTCTGGATCAATCTTCTCTCTTCCTAGTGTGTCTGCTCCTGGTGTGTCAGAACCTTCAAATACACCTGAGATACAACCCATACTGTCTCACCAGCAACCTCAATTGTAACAGCCCCAAACCCTGTAGCATGATATTGTCCGTTTTGCCCCGCGCACAAGCACCGTCGAGCTCACGGTTTTGTTTCTTGGGACACCCCACAAAAGGCCTCACACTAGAAAAGGTATCCACACCCTTATAAGGCATGCTTCGTTCCCCTCTCCAACCGATGTGGGACATTACATCCTCCCCCACTGGGAATACAGCGTCCCCGCTGTACACACCGGTCCAGGGCCAGGCTCTGATACCAAATGTAACAGCCCCAAACCCTGTAGCATGATATTGTCCGCTTTGCCCCGCGCACAAGCACCGTCGAGCTCACGGTTTTGTTTCTTGGGACACCCCACAAAAGGCCTCACACTAGAAGAGGTATCGACACCCTTATAAGGCATGCTTTGTTCCCATCTCCAACCGATGTGGGACATTACATCAATCGTCTGAACCACTGGTAAGTCCTGAATCTCCTATTTCTTCTGAGTCTCCTGAATCTCCTGTTTCTGATTCTAATATTATTTCCTCTCATGATTTGTCTATTTCTTCTGATATCTCTAATGACTTACCCATTGCTTCTACTTCTGATGACTTACCTATTGCTCTTAGAAAAGGAAAAAGATCTTGCAAGAAAACTTGTTCCTCTTGTCCCTCTTGTACTCAATACCTTATCTCCCACTTTGTTTCCTCTGCTAATCTTTCTGTGCAGCACAAAAGCTTTGTTTCAGCACTAGATTCTATTGCAATCCCAAAATCAGTACATGAAGCCTTGAAAGATAGGAATTGGGCTCAAGCCATGCAAGAAGAGATGAATGCTTTGGAGAAAAATAAAATATGGGAGGTTATTGATAGACCCAACGGAAAGAAAGCAGTAGGGTGCAGATGAGTTTATGCCCTGAAATATAATTCTGATGGCACTCTTGAGAGATATAAGGCTCGATTAGTGGCCAAAGGTTACACTCAAACCTATGGCATTGATTATGAAGAAACCTTTGCTCCAGTTGCAAAGATGAATACAGTGAGAATCTTGTTATCCCTTGTTGCCCATTACAATTGGGATATAAATCAATTTGATGTGAAAAATGCTTTCCTCAATGGTGAGTTAGAAGAAGAAGTCTACATGGAAATCCCGCCTGGTTTTGATTCTGTGAAGGGGGAAAATAAAGTTTGTAGATTAAAAAAGGCCTTGTATGGATTGAAGCAGTCACCTCGTGCTTGGTTTGGAAGATTTACTAAGGTTATGATGACCTTAGGATACAGACAGAGCCAAGGAGATCACACTCTTTTCTTCAAGCACTCCCAAAATGGGAAGCTTACTGTGCTCCTTGTATATGTTGATGATATTATTATCACAGGTGATGATTTTGTGGAGAGACAGATTCTGCAAACACGGCTTGCCTCTGAGTTTGAAATCAAAGACCTTGGGAAACTGAGATATTTCCTAGGGATAGAAGTAGCTCATTCAAGCAAAGGAATTTTTATCAGCCAGAGGAAATATGTTCTCGATCTTCTCAAAGAAGCAGGAAAGCTCGGGTGTAAACCCTCTAATACTCCTATTGAGCAGAATCACAAGATGGGCTATGAAAAAGAGAATCCTCCAGTTGATAAAGGACAATATCAACGGCTAGTTGGGAAATTGATATATCTGGCCCATGCTAGACCAGACCTAGCTTATGCTGTTAGTGTTGTCAGTCAGTTTATGCACGATCCAAAAGAAAAACACATGCAGGCAGTAGAGAGAATTCTTCAGTATCTTAAAGGTACTCCTGGTAAAGGATTGTTATTCCGACGTGATGGCAATCTATCTTTAGAAGTCTACACAGATGCTGATTATGCTGGATCCGTGACTGACCGTCGTTCTACCACTGGTTATTGCATATTTCTTTGCGGTAACTTGGTGACATGGAGAAGTAAGAAACAAGATGTGGTTGCCAGATCAAGTGCAGAAGCTGAATTTCGAGCTATGGCTCAAGGCATTTGTGAGTTACTGTGGCTGAAAATTGTACTTGATGATCTCAAAATAAAATGTGAGGGACCTATGAAGCTGCTATGTGATAATAAGTCCGCTATTTGTATAGCTCATAATCCAGTCCAACATGATCGGACTAAACATATTGAGGTTGACCGCCATTTCATCAAAGAGAAACTTGATAGCGGGTTGATTACCACTCCATACATTCCCACTGGGCATCAATTAGCTGATCTATTAACAAAGGGGCTTCCTTCAGACAGATTTCAAGAACTTACTAGCAAGCTGGGAATGATAAATATCTATTCCTCAGCTTGAGGGGGAGTGTTGTAAATAATAATTATTTAGTTATTATTTAGTCATTTATTTGTTGTATTGGGCCAAGCCCATTAGGTTAATTTTAGGTCAAATATTCTCTATAAATAGAGAACCCTTTGTACAGATTATTTACAATTCTATAATATATTAGAATACCCTTTTTCAAGTGTACCTCAGCGAATCACTTACCCGTCTGAATCTAATAATAATGGTCAAGAGTACCCCGAAAGAAAATTTTGAAAAAGGTGTAGCGTTTATTCCATGTGTAGTAGTATCATGGAATGAAACTTAAAATTTGGTGTAATTTGTTTGATAGGAGATGGTTTATAAAGAATTAGATAAAAAAAAAAGAAGTTTCAAAAAAATTGACGAAATTTTTTAAGTTACGAGTGGCAAGATTCATTATTTAAAAAAGGATAACTGGGAGAATGATATTATATAAAAAACAGCAAGCAATTAGATAGAGGAAAAAGGAATTGAAACTCATCCATAATCATCTTTTTCTTTCTTTCGATGGATAATTTGCTCCGAAAAAAGGCTGAAAAGTGAAAAGCGTAAGTGAATTTTTCACCCATTATTTTGAGGAATTTCTTATTTTTGACAATTTTTTCGTCAGAAATTGTTTTTATTATAGCATCCAAGTCCAAAACAAGCATTGTCATTTGTGAAGGGAGAATCATCAAGTGACAAATAGTACAACCAAGCATTGTCATTTATCAAGGGAGAATCATCAAGTGACAAATATCATTTATATGAGATTTTTTGTAGATTTAAATCATTTAAATATGTATCACATGGCCTGCATAGCTTAGATTGAAGATATTCACGATGAAATTTCAGGGGAGTAGATCTGTTTTTTGGATCAAATCACGTAGAAGCAGGCGCCTACTCGAATAAAAAGTTTTTTGGTTTTTCATTTTTATTGTCTTCATATGAAATGAATTGAAAACTTAAATGACATTAAGGAAGTTTTCTAAGTGCTCGTACGTTGGTTCATAGCGGGTGAAATACCTGCAAAACAAACTCTGATGCTTAAATGAAATGAAAGCATAAAAGTAAAATAGAACATCCCTGTCACTACGAGAAGTACCTTTATTAACAGTAAGTGAAGCATAAAAATGAGACCTTAGCTTGGTCCTTCCAGTTCCAGAGATATGAGTGAGTAGTCACATAAATTTGGATGACCCATAACCCTCAAGTCCTTGAACTCTATCCTTGAGGTTATCTATTGGTCTATGACAGGTGGGGTGAGTACAAAAACAAATTTGTTGAAATTCTGATATCATTAAAATACAAAAGAATGTAGCAAATTAGGTACGCCCCTATTTATACTTGGAATAGAAGAGATCCAAGAGATGAATATCGACTCAAATATAAAGTAATAGGTCGTAGAAATCCGGTGAAATATAATCCCTCAACCATCCATCCAAATCAAAAGCACCAAAAATGCTAAAACCGGAAGCAAATTCTGTCTCTGTCCTTATATCAGTAAAACCTACCATTCAATATTATATTAATAAATGATTGCAAATCTGGGAGGAGTGGGATTGGTAAATGCTTAAAAGAAAAAGAAAGAAGTGAGACAAGAGAGCTAAACTGATAAGAATAGTTAGATCCCAATTCTGAAAAAATTAAGGAGGAGCTGGAGCTGGAGCTACCTTAACAAAATCATCTAAATAAATTCTATGCATAACCACAGTTCTCAGCTTTCCATTTTCTTTGAATTTCTGTATATTATATACACAACAACCCCCTGAACAGAACATGCCCTTCTTCTTCTTGTACTTTTTTTTTTTTTTTTTTCTATAATTGCTTGTCAACAAAAAAATACCCACAAAAGAAAAAAAAGAAAAAATAAATAAATGCTCAACACTGTGTGCATTGCATTGTGCAGTGGTAGAAGAACCTACAAAGGCGTGATGGGAGGACACTCATCAATCCCAGAAGCTGCGCAGAGTATCTCATTGAAGGCACCTTGCATATCATAGGGTATGAAGGGTGTCCTGCACAAGGGGCACGTTCTCTGATGGTATCCCATCCAACGGTCCAGGCAACCCCTGTGGAATATGTGGCGGCAGTTTGTGAGCCGTCTGATCTCGTCTTCTGTCTCGAATTCGTAGAGGCAAACGGCGCAGCTCTCCGGCGGGTCCACCACGTCGGAGAACTTCACCACCGGCAGGATATCCCGGATCAGCAGTGAAGACACCGATTGGAACTCCGATATCCGGTCGGGCCAGGCAATGTCCGGTTGGAGGAAATCGTGGAGACCGAGATAGCATAAGAGGACGGTGATGAGTTCTCTGATGAAACCCAATAAGGAAAGGAGGTGCATAAACAGCTTTGGTAACACAACCTCGGGATATCCCGTTGGAAATCCCATGATGTCACACACAATGGTTGCTTATGCTTATATTGCTATGCTGCTTTAATCTTTTGTATTGTGATTTGTGAGCAGAGTCTCTGACTCTTGTGTGTGCTTGTCAATAATGAATAGAGTGGGTAAGCATTAAGCAATGCCTTAAATAGATTGGAAGCTTGGGAGATTGATGTGGAAATGCCAATAATGGGCTTTGGATTTATGGAGAATGACAATAAAAAGGCTACCCATGGAGATGGAAATGGGACAATTTTTTCATTATAAAGTAATGACCGAGAAAAGTGTGCTAAGTATTTGATACCCTGTACTAAAAAAGTGTGCTAAGTATCTCATTTCATTTTTTACGTAGAACATTGTTTTTGACATTTTTTTTTTCATTTTTAACCATTATATGCTTTTAACTAAGGGTTTTATAATTCTCATTTAACATGAAAATTCAAATTTTCCTACACACCCTTCGATTTTCGTGCTGACATGGTCCTACATATAATTTTTTCTAACACCTAGGTCCCACATGAACTCTGCCCATGTGTGCTTGCATGCATGGCCTGTCCCAAGCCAGGATAAAGGAGGAGGGTTGGCGTCAGGTGTTGCGAACCGGCCGTAAAAAACAGCTATATTTTTATGTGATGAACCTAGGTCCCACATGCTTTTTATCTCTACAACATGAGAATTGAATTCTCATTTAACATGAGAAAATCAAACCCCTTTAACTAAATATTTAAACTGTGTTGTCGTTAATACGTCATGTTTTAGTGATTAGTGTTTTAAAATTCGAATCGATCATCAACTTAGTCGATATTCTGGATCAGTAGTTCAACTAAATTTTAAAATAATATATAATAAATATTAAATTAGAATATTATATTCAACAAATAAAAGTAGTCTAACGATAACACTTCCGATCTTCCAACAAAGAAATTGAAGTTTGAATCTTGTTGATAACACTGTTAGTGAGAATGGTTAATTATGTAGCAATAAAAGGTTTTTGAGGAGCCCGCTTTAACCTATGTATGCAAAAATTTCACATTAATAAATGATAGTTGGTAACTGAAAATTAGGACTGGACTCAGCAGTCAGAGACTCACAGCTTTCAATAACGCCAAGAAATACCATAAACCTTGTTCATGATGACGGGAAGATTATCTTGGAAAAACTTGGAACCTTGGATGCATTCTGTCTTTTATTCTTTAGTCTTCGCCGCTCAAAATTGTTTATACCGTACGCATGCTCGAGAAGCACAACAAATTCGGGATAAAGGCAAAGCAACGTACTTACGTGCATACATTATACGAGAATAATGATTAACATTGTCGTAAAAAATCGAAAGGTTACCAAATTAATACTCGACTATCTCAATCATAAAAAAAATGGATCAATAACTCTTCAGAAAAGATGAGCGTCCATTCCAATTTGTATATGAAAGTGAGGGTAAGTGGTTCCACCAATATTCTTCCCCATGAAAAGGCCACTTGTACAAATGTAGCATCTTAAATATCATGATGTTATTAGGAATTTTGGGTTATCTCGTTTGATAACTCTGGAGAAGACTAAGTAGACGCATATGTTGATTATCACCCAAAAAAAAAAAAATAGTAGATGCATAATTAACCAATAGCATGAATAATAAATGCCAGCTTGGGGAGGGTCCATCACTTACATATGCGTTTAAAGCATGTTTCAGAATTTGCAAAGTAGTGTTAAAATTGAGTCACAAAAACATTGATAGTGAGAAGTCTCCTTACGAGCGAAACCCGTGAAAGCATTAATATCACCCGTTGGCCATCTGGGGTACGGTGTCAGATGAATAAAATAATTATCAATGAAACCTGATGGTGACAACTTTCTTGATATATCACTATTATTAACATTTTGAATTAAGATGATAGATGAAATATCTTCTCAATCTTGATGAAGAAATCTTTTATATTTATATAATCACGTTTGTCTAACAATGCTAGGGAAGTAGCAGCTACTTAGCCGTTTTATGAAGAAGTGTGACCCAGTGATATTAACCATAAAAGGAAATAGTATAATAAATATAGGTAGATAGGTTGATATTTTCCCCCAACATGAGTAAGTGATGCAAATCATATAGGAATTTCCAAAATCTTAATAACCATAAATTAGACGAGAGTCATAAAAACCAATATATAGGTCACAGTCAATGATTGGATATGAATTACTAGTTTCTTACTTTATTTTTTTTATTTCTAAATAAACTCTGGTTGATGCCTCCCATAATGTAGGGAAGAGAGAAAGAACACAGGATATGGTGTGATTGAGTGAGATGGGCAAATGAGGAAGGCCCGAATGGGCTGGAAACTCTGGAAGCAGGACAAGAAGAGACGTGGCAATAGCTTAGACCAAACTGGACACGAGGCGCATCTGTAATGAGGTTTGGCCACCACCCACCAGGCACCAGCACCAGCACAGGTAAAAGGCCCTATTGCTAATCTGCTCTGACATGGTGTCTGATGCGGCCAAAACACTATCGGTCCACATCCACTGTTCCTCAATCACTAAAATAATTAATCTTATTCTACCTTTCACTAATACCCATATACCTCCAGTCACCGAGGCCCTACCCATTACCCATCATTTTTGCTTTTGTCTCATCCTTTGTCTAGTCTCCAGTCTCCATTGCTGGAGTCCCTGTCCAAATCACAATGTCACATTACACATATATACATTGATCTGCAGAGGTCGAATCCAACCGATTATTTTGAAAAATTGAATCAAATTGGTTTAAATAGTTTGATTTAGAAGTTGTTTGGTTCAAAATTGGTACGGTTCGATTGAAAACAATTTGGTTCAAAATTGATTCGGAAACAATTCGGTTCGAAACCAGTTCGAGTCGACCCTCTCTTGAAAAGAAAAAAATTAAAAATTTAAAAAATAAAGTTATAAAAATCAATTTGATTCGATTTGGAAATGATTCTGTTCGATTCGATTCGGAAACGGTTCAGTTCGGTTTAAAATGGTTCGGTTCTTAAACTGGTTTTAAAAATCGATTCGGTTCATGAACTGGTTCTTTAAAAACCGGTTCAGTTCATGAACTGATTTTTAAAAATCAGTTATTTTAAGAGACGGTTCGGTTCATGGTTCGATTCAGTTTTTTGATTATTTTGCACACTCCTATTCTTCTCCTCTCTTTCCATTACTTTGGTTATTAATTAAAATTAAAAGGAGAATAAAAAATCAAAAAACATAAAATTCTAACGTAAAAAAATTGTGAAAACGTAAAAGTGTTTGAAATTTTGACGAAAACGTTTTGATTAAAAAAATTATAAAATCATAAAAACACAAATTTAAATCAGAATTTTAACTACATGATCCTACTCCTATGTGCTACTCATATTATTGAACGTAAGTATTTGTCTCATACCTGTTCAGTGAGTTGTGTGTGAGACTAAATTTGATGTCCATAAGAATGCAAAAATTATTGCTGTATTATGTTTTTTAATGTTCTATATTTTTGTTAATAAATATTGCAAAAATTTAGATATATGTTTTTGAACTAATTAATCCATAACATGATATCGAAGCTCTTGTGATCTAATGATCCAAAAAATGTCCAATTTTAATACAATAGATGGTATATATTGTCCATGTTTTAAATTAAAAGACTCTCTAATAAAAATATATGTTAAGAATATGATATAAAAATTCATGAAAATAAATCACAACACGGCCACCACATTAAATAAAAAATCTTATTTATTAATAAATATACAATGAGTAATTAAAATAATGTACTTTTATTTGATTTAGAAGCTATTTCTCAATATCTTTCACTTTTATGATTTTAGCCCATTTACTCTTGGGGTACTGTGGACTTTATATACTAGAAGGTTGTAGGGCCAGCTAATTACAACTATGACTACTTTTCTTTAGGACCAATTTACCATCATTTTTAGTCGTTTACTTCCCACTTGTGTTTTTTATTTCTTAATTTGATTCTCACTTGTGATTAATTAATACCATGTCAACTTGGTCATTCTCAAGTTAAAAAGCCGAATATGTTTGCTATTGATGCCAAAACCTTGAGTCTAAACATCAGAAGTTGTCTGCCATTAGGTTGAAGTTAAGAAACGGTGCATCACAACTTATAAATTGGTGATAAAATTCCATACAACCAATCCGGCCAGATCTTTCTGTGCCTTATGACAATCGACAAGGGCAAGAAAATGGCTTACGAGACAATTAGCAACAACTCGCACATATTTTATAGAACATATGCAACTTGGTTCTGTGTCGTCACTATTCTCTTTCCCATAACTCCTCTTAAAAATTGACATGTGAGAGCACGTTTTATGATTAGTGATGAAGTTATAAATATTTAAATTTAGAAAGAAGGGGAAAAAAAAAAAAAAAGACAAAGCAAGGTGCGAAGGCAGAAAAGGACGACGTATATGCACTTTCTCCCTTTTCCCTATGCCCTAATTCTGTTATTTTTGTGATATATTTGAAAAACTAATCATTATGCCAAGATCCATCTTATGCCGTTTTACTTCATTAATAACTGAACACCAGGGTATAAGGTCCTATAATAATTGGGCAATACTTTTCTCCTAATTATAATGTTTCTAGGAAAAGGCAGGTGCACAAAATAACAGGATGGAGTGAAAAACAGCTACCTAACCCAATGACTCCTTTCCTATATATTGTAGCTATATGGTACCTCATAATCACCGTTTATCTTTCGGTTTTTTTTTACCTTGTAACCCTTTATTAATAATTAATTATCAAATTGACCTTCATTATAAACTATTTCAAAAATTTAACCTCCCAACAAAATATAACACCAATCTGCCCTTGTTTGACCGTTGACCACCAAGCCTACCCGGGTACATCCCTCCCTACCCGGGTATTTTTTGAAAATTCATGCCTACCCGGGTAGGGAAGGGTGTACCCGGGTATATTTCTTACATCTGAAAAATTGCTTGAATTATTTACCCGGGTAGGAAGGGGTGTACCCGGGTAAATCTGGATAAAAAGAGAA